TAATAAACTAAGAATGAATGGGTTCACTGGTGAGGTTTTCAAATTACATATAGACTTACTGGCTTCATTTTTACAGTCAGCTTGCTTTTAGTGGAAAGTTGCCTGCTAGTAGGGAGCTGGAAGCCCAACGAAGATCTGACGAAGACTTTCCTTTTAATATCAGGGTAATGGTGATTTCACCAGTAGGTGAAGTGTCAGATTTGCCAAGACACTTGGAGAAACACACAATACCTCTTCAAGAGCAAACATGAAGTAAAATGCTGATGACTCTGTCAATTTTGTTAACTACTTTATAAGCTTTCTGGCTAGCAGCAAATTATTTTCAAATATGTTATTAATAAAGAACTCAGTGGCATTGAATGAGTGGCTGATTTAATAACAGGTTCTGCTCATTTTGATTTCTCAAAATTTAGTTAACTAGAGAAATTTGTGCTATTGATTATTTTAGCCTTTGATTCTCTGGCAGCAGCTGTAGGAAGTGATCCACAAATCAAGCATAGCTAAAATGGGATTCATCTGCCCTGATTTAGGCCTCCAAAAGTTAGCCATCCCAATCTGAGCTGCTCACCGAAGGCTCCCTTTAGGGCCAATGCAAAGAAGCAGGCACCTGCAGAGGGCAACTCATCTCCTAAGGCAGTGCAGAGGATTTGCCCTTTGCAGGTCTCCATTTCTTTCTAAGGTAGGTTAGATGAATCATCACCTTAGCATGAAAGAAAGTGAACTCTGCAGTAGGGCAGTGACATACATGATTTTTTGACCACTTTCCTCGGGTGTTCAGTGCTATGTGCACCTGTCTTGGGGACTTGAAGACTCTTCCCACTCAGTCTTGCATAGTGTAACTGTGCCAATGATAGGAAAATGTACATGAGAATGGGAAATAATGGCTGGAGAGGATGAATGACTGAAAGTGACACTTGAAAACATGCAATATGAGTTGGTTACTGTCAGAGCTGAGCAGAAGCTGGATTTCCATTGCAGAGTAGTGGGGTACTAGGGGTCCAGGGAGTTCTGTGGGAGTAGAAAGAGTGGGATAAAAAAACTTACTGAGTGATTTAATACTTGATAGCCTAAGGCTACACAAGAAAGGAAATAAGCCTGTTGCAGATGAAGAGATTTTGGACAGTCAGATGGAACTGTGGAGAGGGCAAGCTGTGTGAGTGAACTGAAGTTTGAATGGGACACAGTATTCCCTAAATAAAACTCTTGGAATACAGGAATGGCTCTTTTCTTTGAGGAAATACAGCGTGGAAGTACAGAAGAACAATTTCATTTATGTTAATATTGTACAAGAGAGGAAGAAACTTAGAGACCTCTGTCAATGGAGATGTGTATTTTTAGCTGTGTTTTGAGATGACCCAGAATGCTCACATAGAGGAGAGGTTCAAGGATGTGTCAAATAGCAGCAGCTTCAGAGGGGAGGGACGTGGCTGTCATTGGGCCGTGGAAGGGTAAGTGGGTAAGTCAGGCACCTACCAAACCTCTGTGGTCTGAGAGGAAATGCTTGACTGCTGTAGCAGGGCACAGTGCCATCTATATAGTATAAAAGACCTGGTGACAGGTGGCTTAAACCATAACAGATGATTTTGCACGTCAGAGCAAATTCCAACTGAAGCATCCTCCTACTGGCTCCTCCCAACTGAAGCACATGGCTGTGTCTGTAAATCCAAGTCCAGAGATGGCCACATGGTGTGTGGGTACTGTCTTGCACCCTCACAGGCTTTTTTGTTGCACGTGACCAAGAGTGTACTTTTCTGGCAGGCAGCGCTGGGGGTGGGGAGGGAGGTAAGTGTCTCCACAGCGAGCCACCTCTGATAGTTATGGTCTCTACCATGCTCTTTTTCTCTAATCCTTCTATTCTGGATAGCTTGTCCAACTTCAGTGCCAAAGACACTGCTTATTCCAAGTCTGTTTACATTATTGAGGTGAGGCCTTTCTCATCCAGCATGCACTAAAATGCACGTGGGTGTAAAGCTGCTCTGCCCTCAGTGGCCTGTTTTTGCCTGTTCCTGCTCTGAGAACAGCAAGGCTCAGCAGCATCTGTAGTTTGAGCAGGGCAAACAGAGGAAAGGAAAAAACCTTAAGTGGGTGATCTCAGTGAGGAATTAACAGATCTGGTTTGACATGATTCATATTATCTTTGGTTTGACAGTTCATGCAGGGCCTTAGTTGTACACAGAAAGTAAAAAAAAGGTTACCTTGACCTTAAAAAAAATAGTATTTCAGTGTTCACTGAAGCCACCTGACTGAATAGTCAAGAAAGCAAAAGCATTTACCTAATCAAAGAGGTTCAGCCTGGGAGTTGACAGCCATTTACTATAATTATTCTTTTCAGGCCATCAGGGTCCTGTGAGGGTGAGCGCCTTGTTGTGCTAGGCACTGTGCAAACACGCAGAAACAAATGGTACCTTTCCCCACAGGGTACAGTCTAGTTAAGCAAATGGAAGAGGTTGAAAAGATAAAATTATTTAGCCACAGCTAGGTCAGGATGAAAATCACTATCTTCTGAGACTAAGGCCTAGGCCCTGTCCCTTGAATGAACTACAGTCTACCACCTGCCCTTTGTTGTGTGCCCCAGAGTTGTGTGCGGAGGAGAGTGAGGAGGCCAGGGCGGCTCCGTGGCCCTGTCAGGCTTTGGCTTCCCGGTGTGAGGGAGCGGCAAGGGACAGCTGCTCCTAAAAGAAAGTGAGCTTGGAGCTGAGGGTGACGGCAGCACAGGCAGTGCCCTCATGGACTGGGCACAGCCCCACAGGGTCTGAACGCCGCAGGCAGAGCAGGGTGCTGGTAACAGAGTCCTTCGGTGGTCCCAGGCAAGGCAAGCGATGAGCCAGGCCCAGGGTCCCTCCAGGGAGTCCAATCAGGAGCAAAAGGAGAGGGGGTCAGAGGCAGGACAGGAGACAAGCTATGACGTATGCCTGCAGGGCCCATCCTGGAGAAAAGCTACCTACAACAAATTTCTGAGAGCCATCCAGGAGGCAGGGCCAGAGACAGGCCTAGAGACAGGCACACCAACAACATCTGAAGGCCCAGGGCTGAGCCGAAATGGAGCCCCCGGGCTCATGGGCAGGGGGAGTGGGTGGAAGCCCCAGGTGAGGTTGGCCATTAAGGCCTTTTGGTGCACTCAGGACACTGACATTCAGCTGAAACTGCCAGCAGAAAACCATACGTGGTGGCTATTTTGACAACATGTTCTTGGCTCCCAGGGAAATGGGTTTGGATCAGCTAGTCACTTCACTGAGGTTATAGGAAGCAAATAGTAAATGGCTAGAGTTTCCATTCACTCCAGCCTGGGATAGATGTGAAGTAGCACCCTATTCCTTCTCCCCGTGGGCTGTATCTCTAGGTCTGTGCCCTGTCCCCTTGCTGATACAGGAAGGCACCCAGCGTATCGCTAGGTCAGCTTATGTAAGAAGGTGGCACCCGGTGGAGGACCGGATTAAAAAAATTCTGTTAACACAGCTTTGCCCTGCTGGTTAGTTCCCTTGTCTGGACAGGTGGAGATATGTGGAACCTGCTACACCAATGTAGCCCCAGAGGCGATAACGCTGGTCATGAATGGACTCAGTTATCTATCCTAATGGTCAGGTAGATGGGTGAGGAGGCAATGAGACCACACTGCTTATGCCAGAAGATGTGCCCCTAAACACACAGCCTTGCAAAAGCATGGGTCTGTCTAATTCTTCAGCACTCCATACATAATATTCTGGAAGGGGTTTGATCTTCTCTGTTGCCGAGTAAATGCATTGTTGCTATTGCTAGAGGCAAGCCACAGGCCTTCTACTAATTTACCAGCTCAAGACTCACCAGTAGCTGTCTTGAGTGGCCACAGGTCTCTTTTAGATATAAGTTCAGAAATTTGTGTCAGGAAGGAGTTGGGAGGGCTATCTCCTATAGCTTAACACCGATTCTGCATATTTATCAGATATGGTAGAGGTCTAACATTACTAAATAGTCATCGTGTAACTGACCCATGGGCCAGTAAGAAACAGGTTGTTTAAGAAGTATAAAAATAACTCCAAGAGGACCTAAGATTAAGGAGAAAGAACTCCCCTCTCCTTTCCTCCATTTAATTTCTCCCAGCAAAGAACTCATGATATTGACAGTTCGCTGCAAATCATCTCTTCTAAGAAAAGACTAGCATGACTGAACATCAGGACCCGACACTGGGGAAATGGTTAGATACTGGAGAGCCTATGTATATCAATTTTAACTGTATCATTATTGGGATTTGGCAATAATTGAATAATTTGTATTATATATGTTAGTATCATTTTAACTGGATTAATATTTTTGCTGTATTGTAATTACCCTGTCAAGGCAATAATGAGACTAACAATAAATTCTTTACTCTGTATATAAGGTATGTTCCTTTAAGTCTATACAACTTCCACTGAGTGTAACACACTCTGACAGCAGGTGTACAATGGCATGAGAGCCACTGATTCCACCTCTGCCAGTGGGATGAACACTAAGCCCTACACTCTTAGAGATAACTGAAGGCCTTTGCCTCCCTGAGAAGCAAGACTTCCTCTTAAAGTTGAGCTGTGGAAACATAATAGTTTGTGGCTAGACCTAGTAATCTGAATTCTACATATTATCCAATTAAAAAATTATTTGGATTGTTCTTCTACAACTCCAGGCATGTTAGTGTTGTAAAGCAATTTCATACCAATTCAAACACTCATAGGCAGAATAATATAGAAAGGCTTAACTGGAATTATGTCTTCAATGTATATTTCCTAACATGTCTGTTGGGGTTATTGTGTGACTAGTAGCTATGCAAAGTTTCCTCATTCCTGTCATCTTTTCCTGGCTCACCTTACTGCTGGGCTATATATTTGTGCATCACTTGTGGATACAGGTTCCTCCTGGGACTGTAGAACAGCATAGCTGGTATATATCTCAATAGCTTGTATCCGCTAAACTTTTCAAACATAGCTTCTAATCTAAAATGTGCTTCCCTTTCTTTCTCTTTCAGTACTCTTTAACAAGAGGTATATCAGATGGATTCCACAGCAGCCTATGCCTCTCTGGTGAAAGATGTTAGTTCATTTGAGTTCACAACAAACTATCATCCATGTGAGCTATTGCTCACTGGAGATGAAGCCTTCCCAGTGCTGGTGAGCACCAATGGGCAAGTGCTAATTGCAGCATCTTGTTATGGGAAGGGTCGGATGGTGGTTGTTTCCCATGAAGGAATCTTGAAGGACTCCAAGTTTTCCCAGTTCCTCAGAAATGCTGTGGAGTGGCTCAGGCCTTCCCCTGAGACCCTGGTTGAGGTCCATCCTCATTTGGGTTCTCTCTCCCAGCTGCTGCTCAGGGCAGGCACCAAAGTGCAGGCTGGGGCAGAGCTCAGCCCCTCTCTGGGGGGGATGCCTATGACAGCACGCAGGCAAAAGACCTGGCTAGCTTTGTAAAGGGGGGCTGCTGCTCATTGGCGGCCAGGCCTGGCACTGGGCTAGTCGACATGGCAAGGAGAAGGTGCTGTTTGAATTCCCTGGGAACCAGGTGATCAGCGTGGCTGGCGTGTACTTCACAGGCAGTGAGGGAGAGACTGGCACTTTCTCAGTGTCCAAAGAAATGCCGAGGATTCCTCTAATCACCCAGTGAGTATTTAAATATTTGTTTGTACTGTCTTTAGATTGTATATAGTGTTTATTCTGCCTTGGGTTTTCTGCTACTGGCCTGCTGGAACGAAAAAGATCTCTTCTTCCTGTCCCCCAAAAGAAATGACCATGGATAGAGATGGATGTGCAGGAGTTGAAGGTGCTTCTACAGTTTATTGAGAAACTACCATGAAGCTTGGCTCATGTGCTCCATGGTAAAATGTTCAACAGACGACTGTTTAGGAAGAAACTTTTGGTTGGGTCTGATCTGCAGTGCTATGGCAATTTAGCCTTTTTTTTCCCACTATGTCAATAGCACAGCTATGGGTCCACTTCCTGAGGTATTTAAATCCTTCCTGATGCAGGACCTGGGACACAAAAGATGACCTTCGTCTTTCCTGCTAATCTCCTGTGGCGTGGTGTAAACTTTAAGGCATTTGTAACAGAGTTCTTAGCTTTGTTATAGGGTGTCCCTGCACTTCAGGGTGCACTTCAAAGTCCCTGGGAAGCATGGGGTAGATACTGTGTGGATCCATGAGGCTTGGATATTGTCCACACAAGGTCCATGATCTAGCTGTGCATTCCCCACTAGATGGTGTATTGTGTAGATGCCTGGTAGTGGAGGCAACTCGACTCAGTAGCATAGGTGATCCTTTCCTGCCCAGTGCTGTGAATAGAATAGAATAGAATAGAATAGAAAAGAATAGAATAGAATA